AAAAATTCAAATGAACTGCTGACAACACTATTCTGTTATAAGTTAGATTAAACAAAAAATAAAGTCAAACCGATGCTTTCACAGGAACACGCAGACATTTTAAGACCTACTGAATCAGAACAGTCGTAATCCTGATGTTTTATCACGTTACCGTGGCAACGGAGCGCTAGTTACTGATGCTAGGTCCAAGCCACTGTGGCTACAATGTGCCCCCCCGTCTACAAAAAGAGCAAAACATTGGGGGGGATGGGGGTGTATGTATATGTATATATATATATATATATATATATATATATATATATATATATACACACACACATATTTATAGTTGCGTACTTTCTCCATGCAGCGTTGTGGGACGTAACAAAGTCTCTTTGAATTTACCAAAATAATTAAATTTATTGGGGGCCGTTTTAAAAACGTTCCTGAACGACAGTAAACTCTTGACGAGGCGCAGCAGCCGAAGGAGAGGCCATACGTCTGGACGTGCAGCTAAAAGCAGACTGCTCTTACGAGTGAAACGGATCAGAACCACAGACGGGCCTGCAGCACCTGAGGGGTCTCCTGACCCACCTCCCCCACCCTCCTAAAAACAATATTACCGTCCAGGCTTAACCGCAACCCTAACAGGTTTAATTAAAGACGGTTCAGGAACTCACCCCCCTCACCCAGCCCCAAACTTACACCTCTACCTCACCCTTTGACAGACAAACAGCCGAGGGCTGCCGTCTCCGCTTACCAGAAACCCGACCCGGCGGCCGGCGGGCCCAACAGAAACCTGACACAAGTAGTGGACCAGACTCGTCAACAGGGCGCTAAAAACGTCACGCTGCAGCTCACAAGTTCTGCTGCGGACCAGCAGGTCCGAACATCCAGACCTAAAGGCACTGGGGTCCACGAGGAGCAAAACTTCAGCTCATGTCACAATAAATTATATTGGTTATAATTTTTCAGCTGTTTTACAGCTTAAGTAAAAAACAGTCACTTAACCCTCCTGCTGCCCTTGGGTTAAAATCCCCCATGAGGCCTCAGTTGTACCTGTAAGGCCTCGTGGGGGATTTTGACCCACGGGCAGCAGCAGGGTGAACATTGTCTGCTCTAATCAACAGGAAAAGGCTTTAATTGAATATAAACAGGCGATGCTTTGGTCTTCGGCTGTTTTCTTCTACATTTGGACAAATGACAACAATTACCACCCTGAACATGTCCGTCAACAAAATATTCCTCGGTCACCACAGACCACATCAACTTGTGGGGACCAACAGAACTCGCGGGTCCGGATCACCGGCCCACCGGACAGCCAGGAAGAAGTCCGACCCCGTTCCAGTTTAGTCCTGGAAGAACCGGGTTAGGGCTCCAATCACAGCAGCAGCAGGTTCAGGATCACGTAGGGCCGGAGAGCCGAGCTGCGTGGAGGCGGTGCAACACACGCGCGCGCACGTGCACACACTGAAGCCCGTCTCACTTCAGAGCATGAAAGGAAGAGGAAGAGTTTGTTTTTTTCACCTAGGAGTGTCTTAGTGCTCGAGCGATCGCCTCGCCTGCTCACGAAGAGGAAGTGAGCGCAAACATCGTCTGGCACCTCGAAACACGCCGAACACACACACACACACACACACAGCCGAGGCAGAGGGGTGTGTGGTACCACGGCACCGGGTCAACAGAACCGGGCTTTCTCCTGTTGGTCTGAACAGTCACTGAGACGCCGGAGGAGCTGAAGGACTGCTGCATTTTCAACACCAGCTAAAAGGAGAACACTAGCTAAACACAGCAAAAGGAGCAAAAGCTGCTTTAAAGCTATAAATGCCAAAAGGTGACACAAAACAAACAGTAGCTATTAGTAGCAAAAGGCTTGGAAAGAGTAGCAAAAACCTAGCTAGAAGTAGAAAAAATGAGGTGTTGGCATCAAAAGCTTAGCAAAAAGTAGCAAAAGGTTGAAGTAGAAAAAGATGAGCTAAAAACAGCAAAGACGATAGCTAAAGGTTGAAAGGCTTGCAAAATAAAGCAAGAGCCAAGCTAAGAGCATAAGAAGTTAGGGAAAAAGAGCTAAAAGTAGCCAAAATGAGCTAAAAACAGAAAAGGGTTAGCTAAAAGTAGCTGAAGAAAACACACGGTGCTGATAATAAACCAGTAAAAACTTGGTCCAGATCCTCC